CTTTATTGTTTCCTCCAAAAGATTACAATAGTAAACTTATTACCTATATAAACTATTACAAGAAATATTCATATTGAGTTCACAAACAATGGGCGACCTTATCGCTAAAAGCGATCTCTTCCAGGCAACCTTTGGATGGAGAGTAGTTATAAACAGTTTGATCGGAGGCACGATGAAAATTCTGTTGTTTTTAAACTCATAATACGATGTTTACATTTACTTTTATTTTTTAACCTCTGGGCGATAGTTACCACTTTCCATCAAGTCGATCGTTATTATGTCAAGTTAATTGCCGTCCAAGTCTCATAAATTGGGTTTATTAATACTTTCACGCTTACTTGTTTTTAAACGAAAATAAGTAGATAATGTTAAAGTTTCGTAAGTATACATAACATTTTAATGTGATAACTGCCGGATTAACTTACGTATATTTTTTAGTAAAAAATGCTCGACTAGTTTCGGAATCATTCTGGACCCTTAGATCAAAGCCTCACTACCATTAAACATTCTCAACTAAAATTAAGTTTGTGTTTTACAAAAACTGAATTGTGGCAAAATATATATTTTATTTATATTGATTTAATAACTAAAATATCAAAATAAATTTGATAAAGTTACAATAGATTGATTTATAAGTTATGTAAATATTTATTTAAATTTCTGTTTAGCACTACTACTGCCCACTCACTACTTCCTATGCCACTGCGTTAGGTTGACTGGAAGAAATCTCTCTTAGAGATAAGTTCGCCTTTGCTAACATTGTTATTAACTTACTGTTGTTACTGTAAGTTTTAGTGCAATAAAGAATATATATAGTATCAACCTGTAAACATATACTTACAGATAAATAAAAAAGAATTTTTCAAATCAGTTTACAATTAACGGAGTTACGAGTAACTAACTAACTTTGATGTTTGACATATCAAACATTCTAGCCTGTTGTGTATTGACAATTTTATCACTCCTTTGTAATTCCTTGTTTTTAGATTTTTATCCTTGTTTTAATAATTGTCACATTGCTCTTTGTCGCTTTCGTAGTCTGTATTCCGTAGTTTTCTTTAATATAGTTAATTTCCTTTAAACCCATTGTTTAATTACACTAAATACATCAATATACAGTCTATAATATCGCCCACACGTAGGTTAATCCGGGTGTTCACAAATCACAAGGAAATAACAACTAAAATGTTTTCTAATAAAAAAAAAAAACAACTGCAAACAAACAATACTTTACAAGTATGATATACTGGTTTGTTCATCCAATAATCATAACGATTTATGTGTAGTCCACTATGTGGATGTTCATTGAAGCGTGGCTTGTACTCGTACGTAACGCTCGTGTATTATCAGTGACGGACCATTTGATTAATGGTGACAGATGGAATGTTATCTTCCTTGAAAAGAAAGCGAGAATAATGACACTGACTTGCATTTTAATATAATTAACTTTTTGCCCGCTGCGTCGTACGTGGTTTGTTATAGAATTAGGAAATCCAATGAAATATACGTACCAGTTGTAGATAGTGTATGGGGTTAAATCATACACCAGTTTTTAAGATCTAACTTAAATTTAGGAATGCAATTGTGAAAACTTTATCTGATTTGGTGTAGTAATTGTTGCGTAATGCCCGAAGAAGTATACAGACAGACTGGCCGATAAAATTTCTAATCTATTAGTTTATTCTATACCAAGACTCCACATTTTAATTTTTCTTAAATGTCTTCTATGTGCAGACTTCATCTATTTACAATTTTATTATAAATAATTAAAATTTACTATTTTATTTCTATTTAAGAGCTTCGCTCTTGTCGGTGGAGCTCTTGCCACTCACTACGATTTTCAGCGAGTCTCTTCACTTCTTGATACGACACGACACCAACTCCTTCCTTGATCTGTCTGATGTAACTATGTCTCGATCTCCCTCTCCCCCTCCCTCCCTTCCTTCTATCTTACCTTCTATTAAATTATAAAGTTAAAATTATAATTAAAATTTATTAATACTCCCTCAATATTATCAAATAAAAGGGCTTGAGTAGTAGAATACTGTACAATTCTACACTATGACAAATTCGAAATCCAAGATGGCCGCCATCACAAAATGGCGAATAACTTTTTTCTCGCAGCTCTCCAAATATGAGTATCCAATGAAATGGCTTGACTAGTAGAATAGTGTACACTGTATTGAAAGGAAATGAGGAGTAACCAACGAAAAGGAAACTAAAAACTTAAAAATAATTTTTTTTGTCTGATCATTGCTCTAGCTAGATTGATGAGAAAAGTGAAGTGATTACTGGTATCTAGAACTTAACGAATTATTTATTCTTATAGGATTGTTTGGGTTGAGCATTTTTTAAAAAAAAATTGACACTTGTTCTTTAGAAATAAAATTATTGGGCATGAAGGTTTAACACCATAGTCCTCTGGAACGACATCGCACGAGGGGCATTATGGGTATTACTATATTTCCCACCCATAGTGGTTTCCTTGCCTACAAGTTACGGTTACCACTTTCCATCAGGTGTGTCGTTAGCATGTTCGCCATTCACAATAGCATTAAAAGAACTTTTGTTTTCACTCCATCACAAATTCACCAGGGTCAGTATTACGTAACTCGTATTTACTCAACGGCCCGTGATCCAGTATGTAAATCTACCATAATGAGTACAGCCATTTATCTCAAGTAGTTTACAAAGAAAGTTGCTAGTGCGATGCACCTGAAGCGTTACGAATCGGAGATGGTTGGTAACTGTGCACGTTTCGTTTTATCATTTGTATTACATCGAATAGTACAGTTCTTATGGGGGGAAAGGGATTGTTAGTAATGGAGACTTAGAATCCCATTGCTAGCAATATACCCAAACAAGTCGTCCTCCTCGTGGTTCCCCCTGGAAACTATCATGATTAATTCCAGATGAATTCATCATGATGGGCTAACTGGCCTGTTTTCATTCTCATCGATCACCCTTCACTGGTGCCCCGCCAGCGTATCCCGTTAGCGCAGGCGGGGTTACTATTCCATTTTCATCCAATAAAAAAAAAAGTACAGTTCTTATATTGATGGTCACCACCATATCAGCCGGTAACTGTTCACTATTGAACATAAGCCTTCCCGATAAGATTTTTTACCGGATTTCCCGGGGTTTCTCAGTAGTTGTTACGCTTGGTAGGCGGATTGGTACCCGCAGTTAGGCTTTTGTGATGTTTCAAGGTTTAAACAAGAAGATTTTACAATACACAGTTGAAATACTTTTATGTATTCTATTATATGAGTTATTCTATGTTTTTTTATCTATATTCGGTTATTAACTATTTACTAACTAATAAATTTATTATTTATCGTATTATTTTTGCACAATATATGTTATGATTTATATACAAACCCTATAGATATTTTCTCCTTTTGAGTTCTCAAGGCTGCCTGGAAAAAAATCTTTTAAGGAAGAAGTCTGTGTACATTTTTGTTATAACCTAATATCTATACTATAAGGGAATGTATGAATGTACGCTGCTGCCCAGCCCTCAATCATTAAATTCATTTAGTTGTTTCTCATGACACTTATGTGAAAGGAAGCGGTGGTTCGTTCTATGTCGGGACCATTCGCCTAAGTTATTACAAATATTAATTAAATTAGTAACGGTTCAAAACATTCAGTCTCTTTAAATAAAATTAATAACAAATTGAAACATATATTTGATTATTCGATTTTTATTTACAGCAGACTGTTTTATGGTAGATTTTTATTAAGTTCTGTTGAAACAGATCATATACGTGTAATGTTCCGTACTATGCTTAATAGTAGTTTATCATATCTATCTAATGGGGAACCACGAATGCTTGCTTTGCTTTACATAGATGTTAGAGATGTGCTCGATTTACTAACTCGAATTAATTCGGGTTGTGCTAAATTCGAGTTAACTCGATTTTAATTCTCCCAAACTCGTTTTTGGGCTGGAGGTGAATGAACGAATAAATGGGTAATAACTCTAATGAGAAATGTATAAATTATATATGTAAATTATAAACACCTTTTTATTTCAATCTTACATACGAAGTTTAGCAACGATAATTTTCCTAACAGAGAGTTCGATGGAAGAACAAATATGGAAAAAAGTAATTTGTAACAGATCATACACTTAGTTTCTTCCTGTTATTTTGAGTTGTGTAACTCGAACTCAATTTCGAGTTACCTGAATTTCAAATCGAGTTAATTCGAGTCGCGTTTTTTCCAAGTTGGCACATCTCTGATAGATGTAGAGCAGATCACAATGTTTGGACGTTTCGCCCGACTTTGCTCACGTAAAGATTATAATCTCACTGCGGTCGTTCACCGAAACTTAACCATGATTGTAAATTTACCAACTATTACTCTGTGTACTCGATTTAAGATTTTGTATTCACGGTTGTGCAGTAGCTTGTAGAGAATGTAGTGTTTTTTTTTTATAAAGAAAAATGTATTACTCAGTGTAGGATTACTATTGTTAATTGATAATTTAATACAATAATAAATATTAAAATACTGTAACAATTAAAGTAGATGTTATTATAGGTATTAGAAGTTTGACGTTTATATGATTATATGTGTTTGTTCTATCAGCTCTTAACTGTCCACTGCTGAACATGGCCTCCCCCAAAAAGGGGGGGTTTGCCAGTATTTGCCACGCTTGGCAGGCAGGTTGGCAACCGTTGTTTGGTTTAAGTGATGTTTTAAGAGTGTATTCATATACTTAAACCCTAGAGCGCACTACTTAGCCATCGCCGAGAAAAAAATTCCTGATGTTTGAGTTTTTTTTTTAATTTGTATTATAATTTAATAAATCGTTATAAACAATTTCTTTTCAACTTTTATACATTGTTAAATCGCTAATTTAATGACTTTCTAACTTTTTAACTATTAGAACTTATAACTGTAGATAGAATAAGTACAAAAGCAACAATGTTAAAAGTCCTACAAATTTCTTGGCTTCTAAACGGGTCAGTGTTGAAATAAATAGACAAACGCACATTTAAATATTTTTATTTATAAAAAAAAATATATTTTACAATCTTAAACATACAGTATTAGTTAAGGCAGTGTCGTCTCGTAGTCTCGTTTTTTGAGTATTTTCACATTGTAACATTAATAATAAAATATATAATATCACTGAAATCGCGGTAACATGAGAACAAAAAAAATCTAATAACAAAAAACACATATAATGTAAATAAACATATTACAATTTGTTAAACTTAATCCAACAAATTTAATAATAAAGACAGCGACTTCTGTACATAATAAGTACACAGTTTGGTATCACAATTATGGCAACACAATGAATTGTACTTAACATTTATACTAACTTAATATACAAAAGGTATTTGTGGTCGATCGTAGAAATATCCTTGGTCAGCTACGAAGGGTGGCCGAGTTGTAGGGGGCTGGTATACTGGGATTTTGACTGTTGAAGGAGGTATGTATACTGGGGGTGGTCTCGTTGTCCGTGGAGGTATATATACTGGTGGCGGTGTTGTACTGGGGGGAATGTACACTGGTGGAGGCCTAGTCGTCGGTGGGGGTGTTCTTCTTGTTGTTGGTAGTGAAAATGGTGTACTAGGCGTTGAGTAGGTGTAACCTGTTTTTATAGTTGCGGGTAGGTTAGTGGAATATGTAGGTGGTTGTCGAGGTGGTGGTGGTCTGGTCGTTGGTGGTGGGACATACACTGGTGGTGGTCTAGTAGTACTAGGAGGTATGTATACTGGTGGTGGTCTGGTTGTAGGGGGTGGTGGACGCCTCGTTGTTGGCAAAGTGAATGGTATACTCGGCGGAGGATAATTGTAACCCGTTGTTCTGGTTGCTGGCACTAAGGTGGTATATGTAGGAGGCGTTCGTGGTGGTGGCGGTGGAGTTCTTGGTGGAGTTGGTGGTGTTCTTGGCCGTGGAGGAGGCGTACGTGGTGGTGGTGGTGGAGGTGGTGGTGGTGGCCTGGTTGGTGGTCTAGTTGGTGGTGGTGGGGGCGGTGGAGGCGGCCTAGTTGGCGGGCGTGTTGGTGGTGGTGGTGGTAAATAAGTTGCTGGGGTTCGTGGTGGCGGCGGAGGTGGTGGTGGAGGTGGCCTGGTTGGTGGTCGCGTTGGTGGCGGTGGTGGTCTAGTTGGGGGTGGAGGCGGTAAGTAGGTTGCTGGTGTTCTTGGTGGTGGAGGTGGAGGTGGTGGTGGTGGCCTTGTTGGAGGTCTAGTTGGGGGTGGTGGAGGTGGTGGTGGTGGTGGCCTAGTTGGAGGTCTAGTTGGGGGTGGTGGAGGTAAGTAGGTTGCTGGTGTTCTTGGTGGTGGAGGTGGCGGCGGCGGCGGTGGTCTAGTTGGAGGTCGAGTTGGTGGGGGAGGTGGTAAATATGTTGCTGGAGTACGTGGCGGTGGAGGTGGAGGTGGTGGCGGCGGCCTCGTTGGAGGTCTAGTTGGCGGTGGAGGTGGTAAGTATGTTGGTGGTGTGCGTGGTGGTGGAGGTGGAGGTGGTGGTGGCCTAGTTGGAGGTCTAGTTGGTGGAGGTGGAGGAGGTGGTGGTGGTCTAGTTGGAGGTCTAGTTGGTGGCGGTGGTGGTAAATAAGTGGGCGGTGTACGTGGCGGTGGAGGTGGAGGAGGAGGTGGTGGCCTTGTTGGAGGTCTAGTTGGCGGTGGAGGTGGTAAGTATGTTGGTGGTGTGCGTGGTGGTGGAGGTGGAGGTGGTGGTGGCCTAGTTGGAGGTCTAGTTGGTGGAGGTGGAGGAGGTGGTGGTGGTCTAGTTGGAGGTCTAGTTGGTGGCGGAGGTGGTAAGTATGTTGGTGGTGTGCGTGGCGGTGGAGGTGGAGGAGGAGGCGGTGGCCTAGTTGGAGGTCTAGTTGGTGGTGGAGGCGGCGGAGGTGGAGGCCTAGTAGGTGGTCGAGTTGGTGGTGGTGGAGGTAAATAAGTAGGCGGTGTACGTGGTGGTGGTGGCGGTGGAGGCCTAGTGGGTGGTGGTGGTGGTGGTGGTGGTCGCCTTGTTGTAGTGCTTGGTGGGTATGTAAATGTCACTCGAGGAGTAGTATAAGTATAACCAGTTGTAAATGGTACTCGAGGTGTTGTGTAAGTGTAAGCAGTAGTTCTCACCGTTGGTGGTCGAGTTGGGGGTGGAGTTGGCCTTGGCGTTGGTCTCGGTGTAGGGTAAGTGTAACCAGTAGTTCTATATGTTGGTGGTCTGGTAGGAGGTGGTGTGGGTCTTGGCGTTGTGGTTGTACTATATATGGGCCGTAATGTTGTCGATGTTGGATATGTAAATGGTATTCTAGGAGTTGTGTAAGTATAGCCTGTTGAAACTGGTACTCGAGTTGGGGGTGGAGTAGGTCTTGGCGTTGGTCTGGGCGTAGGGTATGTGTAACCAGTAGTTCTATATGTTGGTGGTCTAGTAGGAGGTGGTGTGGGTCTTGGCGTAGTTTGAGTAGTTCTATAACTTGGCAGTATAGTTGTACTAGTTACTGGTCTCGGTGTTGGGTAAGTCAACGGCACATTAGGCGTAGGATAATTATAACCAGTAGTTCTGTAAGTATTTATAATTGTTGAATAGGTAGGTGCCCTTGTTGTAGGCGGTGGAGGTGGCGGTCTAGTTGGTGGTGGTCGTGTGGGAGGCGGCGGTGGGGGTGGTGGCGCCCTAGTTTGTGGTGGAAACGGGATACGTGGCGTTTCATACACGTAACCGTTCGTTTTTGGCGCTAGAGTTGGCGGTGGTGGAGGGCGAGTTGGCGGCGGTGTGGGACGTTGCGTTGGCGCTTGGTAAGTGTATCCAGTTGAGGGTGGTGGCGGCGGGGGACGAGTTGGCGGTGGTGGCGGCGGAGGCGGAGGCCTGGTTGGCGGCGGCGGAGGTGGCCGTGGGGGCAGCGTCGGCGGCGCTGGTGGCGGTGGTGGCGGGAATGGAATTTTCGGTTTTGGGTAGAAGTATCCATCTTCGTTTAAATCAGCGTCTATCCGCGCACCTAGCACGGCGTAGTTTTGATTGGGGAAGCTGGCTATGGCTCTAACGGCGCGGTCTGCCTGGCAGGTATGGTATACCGCCAGGAGTACCACTGCCAAATGCAGTGACAGCCTCTGTAAAAGAAAAAAAGTGACTTTGAAAACGTCTGTCGGATATGTAATGAATATCGACGTGTGCGTCCAAGTTTCTTTAATTCGGAGTTGTGTGAATTTTTCTCCAATCACAGGGTAAATCTAAGAAGATACTGCATTATTATGTTATTATTTGTTAAGTAAAAAGATACTTTTTAAAGATACTGGGAGACTGGAGAGATATACTCAGTACAATTCAAAACAATTTAAAGAATTTCTTTCAATTTTTATTGCGTATATTTTCGTTATATCCTAGTAATATTTATTTATTTATTTATTGAATGAATGGTTTATTTTCTCTTCACAAAAGGTAGTATAAAGTGACAACTTGAGGTATAATTTGATATGAAGACCAATTTTGTGAGAGACTGGTGCTTGCGGTAGGTTTTGAAGAACCTGTGTTCACAAGTCACCAGTGCCCCATCTCCATGGACTACACAAATACAAGGCAACCAATTAGTGTTATAAAACAAAGATGACAATGATGAGATTATTCATTTATTCATTAATACACACACGTATACATGGCGGACTTGATGCTAAAAGCTTTCTCTTCCATAATATTGTAACTGTGAAAGTCCTTAAAGATATTTGTAGTGTTTGGATATTATATATGTTACTCAATTTCAACCGACTAATAGTTGAAGGATGGGAGCAGTGTCTCTCTTAAAACATCATCAAAGCCTAACTGCGGTTGCCAAACCGTCTGCCAAGCGTAGTAACTACTGGCAAAATCCTTCAAGCGGGAGGCCTAGGTTCAGCAGTAAATAGTTAAAGGCTGATATGGTAAACTTAATTACAGAGGGCGACTTTGTATAAAAGTCGTTTGCTTGGGTATCTCTGTCCCATTTGTGTTTCAACCGTAAAGCAGTTGTGTTTGCATGGCTGTGTTTCGGTTTGAAGGGTGGGCTATGGCGTGAATTTACAGGGTACAGAGGAATAACATGAGGTATCATCGGCGAAACAGTATACTCTGTTATGTCTATGGTACTGCTCATGTCTATAGGCGACGGTTACTACTTTCCATCAGGTGGGCCGTCAGCTTGTTTGTCATTCTAAGTTGTATAAAAAAAAAAACATAAAATAGTCATGGTAGATATTTACATCATAAAGTGCGGTATGCGGTCACGATGTAGGTATTCGGAAATACGTTTAGGTGTCGCTAATAGATTCCATTTTAATAAAAATAATAAATTCCATTTTAATTTTAAACATAACTATTTCGTAGTAGCGTGTCAAGGTTACTATTTCGCAATAAGACGTTTGTATCATTAATGTATTGTTGACCCTTCGGGGTCACTGTATGTTTTAATAATTGTTTAAATAGTTAAAACTAGTACATAAACTAAGAATATACACTAAACTGTGTAATATAATATAATAAAATATGTAAATTAGAGCTTCAAACAGAAGTTTGAAATTTAACATTTATACTCCGTCCGTTTTTTTTAATGAATAATAATATAATAGATCGCGCTTCCTGATACCATTTAGAGACTACAGACTAAACCGTCTTTCAAATAAAAAAAAAAACGTTCATGCTCACTCTTTTACTTTATCCGATCAGTAAGTACTTTGTATAATTCTCAAATATGTGTATATTTGTTATTCATATATATTTATTCGTTTATATATGTAATTTTAGTATGTATGTATATCAATAATTACTAGTACCGCATTCGAGTATTCTGACGCTTACCTATGGTTGACTGAGAAACATATGTTTGACAAAAAAGAGATAAAAGAATACACAAAAAAAAAGTAAAATAGACAAAGGAAATATTTTTTTTTTTTATTTTTAGTTTATTGCTTCAAATCAAAAGAGCAAAACACTGTTATTTTTTTGTGACCAAAAGAGAATAGATATGGAGATTTGTAACTCAAATGTTTCACTTGTCCGTATGATTTTTCAAATATTTTCTTTCATATAAACTTCGTCCTTACAATTACAAACATAACAAAAAATAATCAGTCAAATACCTATTTCACTGATTCTTTTTATCATACATAGACTTTGTACAAAAGTCGTTTGCTTGGACATCTCTGTCCTATTCGTGTTTTAACAGTGAAGCAGTTGTGCTTGCATGGCTGTGTTTCGGTTTAAAGGGTGGGATATGGAAGCGAATTTATAGGGTACAGAGTAATAACACCTGCGTCCTCAAAAATGGCAACGCATGAGGAGTATCATGGGCGAAACAGTATACTCTGTTATGTCCATGGTACTGCTCATGTCTAGGCGACGGTTACCACTTTCAATCAGGCTGGCCGTCAGCTTGTTTGCTATTCTAAGTTGCATAAAAAAATATAACAGCCATACTGTAGTAATGCACTTATATACATATGTATATTCGACAAATGATTTTTATTTATATTGCTGAGTACGACAGAAATGTGGTGCATTGAACTGGTCCTAGATAGTAGTTCATCTGCGGGTCTACCATGAAACGAAATTCCGAAATTTCGGACTCAATTTCGTGTTTTTGTTTATATCAAAATCGGACCAATAAATGGAGTTTAACATTTCGTTCGTCATACATCCTGTCATAAAAGTACAAAGAAATAATATTTTAACATTTTTAATGTTTCCAAATGGCATGTATTATGTAATTTTAACATCAAATTTCTGTTTCGTTTGGCTCCGAAATTTCGGAAAACATTTCATGGTAGGCCCTCTGAGCCTGGACCGTACATTGTTAGCCTCTCAACTAAACTTGTTAATAATAACGTATGGAGAAGTTATATGAGCTATAGAGTTATATATATACGTAATAAACTCATACAGCATTCAATTCAAACTATATTTTTATATATTTTCCGTGTTATATAAGAATAATACACCTAAATACATATGTATTTTTATATATATTTCATTATTACATATCTTATAGTGCCTCTAAAAAACTTTATATGTTTTTATTTCAATATACGTAATTTAATATGGAAGATATTATATTAAAGCTAATAGAGTTGTTTGAAGTTTTTTGAACAAAAATTTACGCGGTATTCCAAAGGTATGTATAAAGAGTGTGAAATCAGTTTAATGGAAGAAACATGGGTTGAAAAATGACAAAGCCTCCTATACATGGAGTGTCCAACTGTTAAGTTAGTATACCGTATGCTATATCAGCTGTTTACAGTCCACTGCTGAACATACTACTACTGACATCTACTGGCAAAACCCTCCATTAGTGGGAAACCCTACTAATGGAGGGTTTTGCCAGTAGATGCCACGCTTGACAGGCGTTCCCTTCGGTGGTGTTTTGAGAAGGACGCTGCTGCGTATACCTTGATCATTAAATTCCCTATAAGTTATTTAATTTTTTTTTGCAGGGCGAACGTGTTTCTATATCTATCTATCTATCTATCCTATTTAAGAGCTGCGCTCTTGTCGGTGGAGCTCTTGCCACTCACTACGATTGTCAGCGAGTCTCTTCACCTCTTGATATGACACGACACCAACTCCTTCCTTGATCTGCCTGATGTAACTATGTCTCGGTCTCCCTCTTCCCCTCCTTCCTTCTATCTTACCTTATATTATAATATTCATAAGTTCATCGTGTCGTATCAAGTGTCCCAACATTTTTTCCTTTCTGTCCTCAAATGTGTTATATATATATATATATATATATATATATATATATATATATATATATATATATATATATATATATATATTATTTATTTACTTTCATATATTTATTTTATAATCTGTATCATTCATCGAAGGGAACAATATGGAGTTTTCATTCGTTCATTCATTCAAATTGCAACATTCGACTAAATGTTGACGAATGTAGTGACTAGTTCGGAAGGTCGTACTATTACTGTTTGCACAGTACAGTATTGACCTAAATACTAAATCAGTTTGTCACGACAGTAACCAAATATTTAGTGCACGTTAACACTATTTACATACAATATAATTATACATATACCCGACTACATTGCGTTCTTGTAAATTAGCACTTAAATAAATTTAATCAATTCGACTGATGTTTTTTTAAGTGTATTTATATTTTGCAATTATTTCATCAGTTCCCCATCATCATCATCATCATCATCACATAAGCTGTTAACTGTTTACTGCTTTTTTTAATGGGAGATAATGAAATGGTTACCCCGCCTGCTCTAACGGTATACGCTGGCGGGGCATTAGTAAGAGATGATACGTGACGATGTAAGCAGGTCGGTTAGCCGATCGTGACAAATTGCATTAGAACTAACTATGATGGTTGGGGGGAAAGGGATTGTTAGTAATGGAGACTGAGAATCCTATTGCTAGCAATATACCCAACTAGGTCGATCTCCTCGCGGTTCTCCCTGGAGACTATCATGGTTAATTCCTGATGAATTCATCATGATGGGCTAACTGGCCTGTTTTCATTCTCATCTATTACCCTTCACTGGTGCCCCGTCGGTGTATACCATTACCACAGGCGGGGTTACCATTCCATTATCATCCATTAAAAAATCATTAACTTTAGTAAAGACAAAATTAACGCCTGTTATAAATCTACGCGCAATATAATATGGAAAGTGTTTTGAGTTCTTAGCTTTTCTAGGAGTGAAATTTTATTTAAGAATAAAGAGTAATTATAAATTTTGCGTGGTCCCGGCATAGAATAGGCTACCTCTTTCTTTCCAGTGGGTATTGTAAGGGGCGACTAAGGGAGGGTGAGGGATGGACAGCAGCGTCCCTCTTAAAACATTTCTAAAGCCTAACTGTTGTTGCCAATCCTCCTGCCAAGCGTAGTAACTATTGGCATAACCCCCCTAGGGGGAGGCTTATGTTCAGCAGTGTACAGGTAAAAGGTTAATACAACGATGATGGTGATATTTATAATTACAATATTGTGGTTTTCGAAATTGCAAAAATTGAAAAATACTTTTTTATTCAAAAGAATATACTTTCAGATTGATCCCATAGATTTTTTTTCAAAAGCGGTTCGAAAAATAACTGGATTTAAGTCGTAGTTTTTAAT